CTTCACTCCTTGTTGCAACTCACTAGAGAAAAATATGTTACTCTCTTCAGATAAATACATGCCATTCAATCTGTAGAGCTTGGAGCATTGAAATACTGTATTGGGATGTGGGAGGAAGTGACTCAAACTCCTGTTTAGAACATTATGGATTTCCCCATTTACTCTCCTATAGGCTTTATCAGTGTAAACATCAATTAAACATATTCTGCCAAAGTTTGCCAGGCCACATGGCAAAGCACATCAAGGTTACATCTAGCCATCTCTCTGGATAACCCTGACACCATGTAGAACCCATACAGTAATGTTTCAACAAACTCAAGTCATTCCCATACCAGTAATCAGAACATAGGGGAGGTGTGGGGTAGGGTGGGGGTGCTTCTTCCTGCTTCTTGGCAGAGGGTTAGACTAGATGGCCCTCAAGGTCTCTTCCAACTCTATGATTCTATGATACTAGGTCCTTTGAACTCCCTAAACAGCGGAGGCAACAAACTATACCAACAAAGGGCTTTCCCCCTCAAATCACTTTACTGTGGCACCTGCCAGGCATCAGTTTAGCCTTCCAGCAAGAGCTGTCGTTTTTATCCTTTTTTTATCCCTAGTAGTGTAATTGGAGATTGGAGGTAAAGGAGACACTATCTTTGTATAGAGAAAGAAAGAGAATGAATGAGATTGACCTGTTGCCCAACCAGTGCCATCATATGATTCCAAGAGAGATTATTCCTGGGCAGTGCAGCCTGTGGTGGTGGTGATGGCGGTGGGAGGTCTTGTTCTTAGGGTGATCAACTCAACCATATTTCCCAGGAAACCTCATATTAGAGCTATTGGATTTGGGATCCTACTGGCTCTCGTACTGACTTTCTATTTTCCCCATATATTTATTAACAATCAAATTGATACTCTACCTTCATTTGCAAAATGGGCCACATAGCTGCTTTGGCCTCCCTTGCTTCCTCTTCCTTCTTCTCTGGCTCAAGCAATAGGAGAGGGCAAGCAAGAGGAGAGTCCTATTGGGTCTTGTAGCCATCCCAGCTCCAGCTGTCCCAAATGACCAGAGGGCTGCCAACCAACCACATGCCCACCATTGCCCCTCTGACCAGTGTCACAACTTCAGAAAATTTTGCCCCTGGGTAGGACAAATAATGAAGTAAGCTGTCTGGTCAGATATCCAATTAGAAGCTATATGCAATGCTGAATTATGGCAGTTTGGCACCAGTCTAAATGCCATGGGCCCATCCTGTAGAATCCTGGGCATTTGGAAACAATAAACATTGACAAAATCACAATCTGTCAACTGCAAAAGGCCACCTTACTTGGATCTGCGCACATCTTTTGAAAATACATCACACAGTCCTAGATGCTTGGAAAGTGTTTGACTTGTGATTTTGTGATATGAAATCCAGCATTTGCTGTGTCATACCGGGTTTTTGTGTCAGCAAAATAATAATAATAAAGAAAATATGTTCCTAGTTTGCAAGTGTTATTTCCTGTTTAATTGTGTAGTCCTTACTTTGAAAGTAGTTGTTGTGCTCCAGAAACTTCATTTTTGTGCCCACAAACTACGTTAAATTGGTGGAAACTCTACACAATATTCAATAATTGAGAAACTAGAGCAAAATGTGCTATAGCAGGATGTCCCTCCTTCAAAGAAAAAGTTTGTGCAGTTTAATATCCCATGTGTTTATGATATAACCAATTAGGAAATTTATAACCCAGGAACAAAAATCATAGTCCAAGAGAGGAAGTATTACCTTTCACTAAGAAAACGGTGGAGGGACAGTAGGCAGGAACAACTCTCTCCCATATGGTGGTAAATCAACTGAATAAAATGAATAGTTTGCTAGTGTGTGATGAAGGTAGGAAAACCATTTAATTTCAAATCAGGGTATGCCTGAGCTGTATGGTAAACCTACTCTTTCAAACACTTGACATGTTCAGTGGGATTAAGTCTTTAGTGAGGCCCAAGAGCTCTACCGCTAAAATTTCGAAATGGTCTCCTCTGAATGGCAGATCTCAGGATTCCATACATTTTTACCACAGCAAATGAAGTGGAATAATACTGCTATAACAGTGTTATAAAAAGTGTTTTAAATTTACACAAAAATATTTTTTAAATGCTAAGTTCTGCAGCATCAGTGGACATGTGGATTATACTAAGAAACATGCAAATTCTTAATTTTTATTCTATATTCTGACCTGAGAGAGAGGGAAAGGAGGGGAAAACTTCCCTAGCCCTCTCCTTCAGAGGAGCCTAACCAGGAATTTGCTTTCCCAGCAGCACTTTGTGTGGCATGGGCATTGAAGGAGCCTCTGCGCTCCCCCCTCCCCCCCGGGCATGATGGGAGTTGAGGTTTTTCTCTCTCTGTTGCTCACATTTCTTTCTCAGTCAATCAGAAGCCTGGTTGACTGTGCCCATTCTCCTCCCCTCTTGTGGTGTGCGTTTGGGACTTCAATTTCCAAAACCCCGTCTTGTGTGTGTTTTAAAAAAGATATGGTAAAAAAATTTATAAATTTCCTAAAAATCGGTGGATTGGTGAAAAGCTCTGAAACTTAGCAGGCTTGCAGTCATAAATGTGGTCTACAAGTGAGGGCCAGTTTCATCCTGATAGACATAGAAATGACAGAGAAATGAGCCTCTCACATTTTCCCATTGGTGCCAATTGACTGAATCTTGCCGGACAGAAAACGCCCCCCCCCCTTCTGATTTCCTGTAAGAGTTATCATGGTAAAAAAGTATCTCCACAGAAACTTTATCGCCAGTCCTTGTTTCCAAAATAAGTCATATTTTGAAAATCTAATTATTACAGAAAGTGAGGTGAAATCTTTTGTATAGGGACACAGACAGTCTACATTTGTCTAGAGTTACACTTAAAAACGTACCTGTTCTGACTTACATATAAATTCAACTTCAGAACAAACCTATAGACTGCCTGTATGCATAATGTCTAGTTTTTTTTAGTCACTCTAGTGATATACAGTTATGCCACATGTACTCTGAAGTGAGATTGGGAGAACATAATAAAGCAGCTGCTCTCCCTATAATAGCACCACATCAGTGATATAAATCTAACAAAATGTTAACCATAATGCAACACTAAAGCATTCTTCCTTTTCAAGTGTTATAAAAAGACCAGAAGATAATTCCAATCTTTCCCTTCTGCTTAGGAGCTAACAACCTCAGTTGTTATAGTTTCAGATACCTTGGAAGGCTTAAAAGATAAGAATTGCACAGGAAATTGAGTTCGGTCATTGGTTTCTCTAGTTCAGTCTGCAGTCCACATTGGTGGTGGCTCTCCAGGCTTTCAGTGTAGTGTTTTCCCATTCTGCATGGAAATGCCAATTGAACTTGGAATTATTTTGTATAGAAAGGTTGTGCTTTGTAAAGTATATGGAGGTCTTCTTCTAACCCTTGTTCAAAGTCTATTCCCTCAGGACTTGAAATCTACAAGGAAGTAATAAAAGAAATCTAATTAATTTTAAACCGTCTGAGTATGATGAGTAGTCATATGAAGATGAAGATACAGATCTGTTTTGGCTGTAGCCAGTTTTCTCCTGTTTACACTTGTACCAGCTAAAAATACCTTTAATAGTAATATCCTGCTTCCTTGGTTTATTTTTATGTGTAACTATCATTATAACAGAACAGTAATCCAGATCAAACAATTGCTTTTTTAATTGAGTAAGCCCCATCATTTTGCTCATTGAGACAAAGTACAAGGTGCATCCACATTCCATGCACAAAACCAAAAAAAGATTAGCTCATGTTTTCCTTCAGTTTTGGCAGCAGGACTTTATCTCCCACCACACTTAAAGACTGCGAGTTAAAGCTAGAGGGTGTCTACAAGGCCACGTGGCAAACTTTGCTCCATTCTCTAATACTTTATAGCCAGTCTCTTCCACACCAGTATCTGCTGCCCAAAACAACCAGTTCAATTAAATAGGTGATAGACCTGGAGTTAAAACAAAGCTGAATGTCCATTATTCAAAATGTTGATAATGTTCTTAGGATATCTTAAATCTAGACATTTACCTTGAATCGGTGTATTCAATTACACATGGACAGCCTTGACTTCATTTCACTTGAACAAAAAGAAGAGAGAAGGGGAAAGTAAGTAGGAAAGGGGGTTTATACTGTCTTGATTTGAGACATTATTTTTTGAAGGATTATTCCTTTCAGCAAAGAGCGAAATGACCTTGATCTGTTTTTTATAATAACAATAAGCTTTATTTGTACCTTGCCTCCTCTCCCTGAAGGGTCCCCTAAAGGGACTTCCTTTGCTTGATCTAGCACCTAGTTTTATATCCAGATGTCAGATGAACTGTGCAGGAAACTTGTTGTCCTCTTCTGGCAAATTAACCCGTGAACTATGTTTCAAAAGCAATTTAAAATTCAAAGAAATCTTCTGTGTTCTCAAATGAAAAACCATTTTAATTGATCTGTTTTTATGGATTTTCTTATATGCAGTAAACCTAGGTCCATTAGGGAATGATGCTTGAGATGCCTATATTGAGAACCTGTTTACCATACCCTCCTCTCATCTGAAGACAGTACAGGGGTGTGTATATTTGCCCCAAATCTTTTGCCAGCCATGACAAGGTTTTTAAGACATCTATGCCAGATGAAGAAAAAAATTTCAAAAGCCAGCATCAAAGTTTTTGTCCTTTTTTGGCTAGGTAACATGCACATGGATTTTTATACATAAGATTCTCCTATGCATGTCTCAGAGTGTTTGTGATTATGATTCCAGAGGTAGATCAATCCATCATACTATCACACTAAGGTCCACTCAGGTTATTTCTACATGTGTCCACCCTTTTAAGAACTGAATGTGTTTTTCTTTTCTTTATGTACATATGAGATGTTAACAGAAGTGTTATTTATTATGACTTCTTAAGCATATCTAATGAATTGGAATAGAAGAAAATCACATACTAGTTTCCTTCAGCAAGCTTGCAGTTCATCTATTTAGTGTACTCATTATTGGCTTTCTTGTCCCCACCAGCATTGTTCAGACACAGCAATGGAAGAGAAAACAGATCTTAGTTTGGAGGAAGAATTTGAAACCCCAGAGGCTATACATACAGGTAAGGAGACCATAACATCATCATTACTAAGGGGGCAGGGGGCATGTCCTTAACATAGGAAGTGAACAGTGTGAATTACTGTTGGGTAGCTGCTGAAAGTGATTTGAGAGATAACCTTCTTTACCTGCATTGCTTGCTAATATGTTCTGGAAACTGTCCATGGGTTTATTTTGAATCATCTAGTGCAGGGGTCCTCAAACTAAGGCCCGAAGGCCAGATACGGCCCTCGGAGGTAATTTACCTGGCCCTCGCTCAGGGTCAATTTAAGTCTGAAACGACTTGAAAGCACACAACAACAACAATCCTATCTCATCAGCCAAAAGCAGACCCACACTTCCCATTGATAAGTTTATATTTATTAAAATTGTTCTCCGTTTTAATTATTGTATTGTTTTAAAGTGGGGGTTTTTTGCACTATAAATAAGATATGTGCAGTGTCCATAGGTATTCATTCATGTTTTTGTCAAATTATAATCTGGCCCTCCAACAGTTTGAGGGACTGTGACCTGACCCTCTGTTTAAAAAGTTTGAGGACCCCTGATCTAGTGCCTCAGTGTCATTGGAAGAAACTTGGGATATAATTGAAAAAATAATAATAAAACAAATAGTAACAAAAACAACAAAATCAGATTGTATGAATTAAAACCCACTGAATATTTAGGACAGGAAGGCACATTGAGAGGGATCCATTCAAAGAATATACCTGCCATTCAAACTCTCATTAAACTGCACTGTCTTTAGTGGGACAGCAAAGATTCAACAGTAAGGAGTTCTTCAGAGGGGAAAAAGAGCATTACTAAAGGCAGAAATCCCCTGTGTTACAAAAAGAGAGAGTGGGGATCAAAAAATCCCCATTATCCCTTCTCTCCATATTCTGCATGTGAGGATCTTGGAGAATAAAGAAAGTGAAATGCAGACATTAATTTATGGTCTACTGTGTCAAGGAGCTGAATTCAGTCAAAGCCCTGTGACAAATTGCACCTTAGTCTTGGTGTCCTTTATATAAAATGGAAAAATAAAGCTTTGTTTTTTTTGGATTTTGACTAGTTACATCTTAGCATCTGTAGAGTGAGGTAATTTTCTGATGGAAAATGTAAAAAAAAATATCTAGCTGTTCCTTTCTATAGAGTTGGATGCATCAAAACTTGAATGAATAAAGTTCTCACACCACATAACCTCTTCTTTTCAGACACATTTAAGCCATAATAAGACTTTTAAAATGACAGATAAAACCCACAACTTTCTGGCTAACACATGGTCATGACTAAATAAGTATTTTAGGATATTAATATATTGACCTGTTCATCTGATTGTTGTGTGTTTATGACCCAGTTATTAACATTTCAAGACTTTTTCTTTAGTATCTGTGGTGTGGTTAATCATCACATTCTGGGCATCAAACTGGTTCCATGATTTCCTACATAATCATCTGCACAGCAAAAACACTTTCTTTACTACCAGGTTGAAACTGCAATAGTCAGCACTGATGTGCTTTCTGTCTGTGTAAGGTTTTTACGTCTCATTTCAGGTATTTTCCTGTTGTATTGCTATTGCTGGAGGGTTTTGTCAAGATATAAAGAACTGCACGGGAGATAAGAGGAAGGCAATATGCACTAATACACGTTGCTTTCCAATACAAGTTGTTTTCAGCATTCTTGATCTACATACCTTCAATGTTTCAATTTCCTTTCTGCCATTTTAGAAGTTGTGCATTTCATTTCACCACTGATTGTTTTGGTAATCTGTCACTTGTATGTTTTCAAGCAGTCATTTAATAAGAAACAAAAATATACTTTGTGTTTTACCATATTGAATCAATTATAATAATTTTAAAGGTAGTATGGAAGATCTTCTGTCTTCTCATGGTGACAACAATATTTTGCAAGCTGTTTTGATCTTTACATCATTTTGTACATTAGCTGATCATGTTTTATTTCCATATATTTTGTAAGTCCCTTAACAAAGATTTCCCTTGATTATGTTTTTCAGTGACTGGGGTAGAATGAATGCAGCTGGAGACCACTTTAACTAAATGCTATGAGATCATGAGAGTTGTAGTTTGGTGAGGCACCAGCAAGCTCTATTTGCCAAGGAAGGCTTGCAAAACTGTGACTCCAATGGTTACATAGAATTTATCCATGGCAGTAAAAGTGATGCCAAACTGCATTAATTCTACACAGTAAATGAACCCTGGTAACCACCAATCTGTACAGCAGTGTTCTAAGAACCAAGAAATTGGGTAATCCATTTTCAAAAATTAAATTAAATTAAAACATCTCAAACAATATGAAGTAAAAACATTTTCTTGTTCTAGGACCTAAAGGGGTGATAAATGACTGGCGGAAGTTTAAATTGGAAGGTAAAGATAGAGATGCCCTTCCACTAAGCAAGAAAGAGATCCTCATCAGACAAATGTCTTCGCCTCATCGGGCTCACAGTAAAGATGATAAAGACACCAGAGAGCGATTCAGTCGCAAGGTAATAAGAAAGAAGTGAATCAACAGAGTGCATAGTTTCAGTAGCTCAGAGAACAATCCTACACATATAAAAACATAGACCCAGACCATTGCCAATATGTCCAGCAACACACTCCTGTCATCCCCACATCCTGTATGCATGTGAAAGTATCTACACATGTATGAATGTGCAAACATAGAGGTCCTTTATAGTCAACCAAGACTGTCCCTATATTGCATTTGCATGCATGTAGTTCCCCTCCTTTATTTCTTATTGATCTTGAAAACATGGGCTAGAATTCATGATTGCATTTATGAATGTGTAATCTAGAATTTCACATCCAGAGATGGTTTGTATTCATGATCTAGATGTATACACTATCATGGCAATAACAGAGTTAGTCACTCTGAGTCCCTCAATGGGCAAGTAAATAAATAAACATAGGGAATACATGGGAATCATAAAAATTCCTTAGTCCTGCTTTACCAGACATCAGTGCTGCGAGTGATTCAGCTCTATTCTCTTATTGATAAGGACACAGTAGATAGATGCTTCAACACACGCACACCCTCTTGCCAATGATCCCGCTTCTGATCATCACACTGTAGATCACTGGCAGATATGGAAACATCACTCTAATTCATCCTGAATGACAAGAGAATAGAACCTCTACTTCTCACAGGCAAGATCGGGTGGATCAGTCTAGGTCAATGTTTCTCAAACTCTGCTCCTCCAGGTGTTTGGACTTCAACTCACAGAAATTCCAGCCAGCTTACCAGCTGTCAGAAATTGTGGGAACTGAAGTCCAAAACATCTGGAGGAGCAGAGTTTGAGAAACACTGGTCTAGGTGATGCTATACCTAACTAAGAAGCTGATTTAAATTCCCAGGCATGGGTAGCAGGAATTATAGGTTGCTTACCTGTAACCGTAGTTCCCTGAGTAGTCACCTGTAATTATTGGAGATGTAGGGAAGGGGATAGCTTATGTAATCCTTGGCCCCTACCCAGCAGTGACTGCTGAGTTCCATGTTACTGGAAGAGTGAAGAGTGAATCTATTCCAGGGGCTATTTTTAAAATTCAAAGTGGCGTTCGGCTTGCTGAATCTGTTTGTTGTTTGTTTCAGCACCTTGGATAGTTCCTTTAAAGTTTTAAACCACCAGGGTGGCTTCCACTAACATGGAAGCCACAAGCTACCAGTTATTCTATAACACATGTGCTATGCTTAGAAGCAGGATGGCAATGGTCCCTGGGAAAAACGGTTTTCCCTGCTGAAATTTAATGCAGAGCCCAGGGGTCAAAATCTCAATAGGGCAGGTGGAACACAGAGAAATGGTAACTCTCTCCCAAGACCATGTTAAATTAAGATATAAAGATTTTAGAACATGGAAAGTCCTTGTTTTGACCTATCTCGGATGCCCAACCATGCTGAAAGGAATCAGCCTGCTTTTCCTTCTTCATATAAAACACTTCATAGCAATTAATATGTGCACTCAGATGTTTATTTCCTTCTTGATATGAATATTTCTTTATTGATATGCTTATTATTTATTTATCAGTATGCTTGGTTACCAGAACAAAATATGCTACCAATTGCCCCCTGAAGTTTCTCCTTAGAGCCATAGCAAACTACTGGAAGCGAGAGCGAGCTTGTGCTTGAGCTCGCTCCGAAGCCCCACCTTTTTCCCCCCGAGGCTGCTCTCTCTCTTGCTAGTGTGCCTGTTTTCCCTTGCTAGGGAAGTGATGCGAGTGTACTCTCGCAGTTGGCAGAATTCAACTGTGAGCGTATGCTCGCATCCCTGCCCTCTGCAATGGAAAACAGGCACGCTAGCAAGAGAGAGAGCAGCCTCGGGGGGGAAAAGGCGGGGCTTCGGAGCAAGCCCGAGTGCAAGCTTCCTGTAGTTTGCTGCGGCAGGAGCGTATGCTCGCAACGCTGCCCTAGCAAAGGGAAATAGGCGGAGAAAGAGGCGGAGCATCGCTCATGCTGGCTTAGTTTGCTCTCGCAAAATCCTAGTTTGCTACGGCTCTTAAAATGGCAGAGGAGTATCAAATAATGGCAATACAATAATAATAGATGAACATTTTAAAAGATACCTCCTTTTATTCCTCAAAATATTTTCTTGTTTTGTTTCTTGTGGCTGCCAGCTGTTTGTTAAGCAAATCAGTGCATTCAGTAATCACTCTTATTCTTCCAAATATTTGCAGATGAGTATGCAGGAGTATGAGATCATTAATGATGATAAAGAAGATGAAAGTTGCCTACGGAAATACCGCAAGCGATGTATGCAGGACATGCACCAGCGGCTGAGTTTTGGGCCCAAATATGGTTTCCTTTCTGAGCTGCAGAATGGGGAACAATTTCTGGAAGCTGTTGAGAAAGAGCGGAAAACCACAACCGTCATTGTCCACATATATGAAGATGATGTCAAGGGCTGTGAACCACTCAACAATAGTTTGACATGCCTTGCTGCTGAATACTCCACTGTGAAATTTTGCAAGATTAAAGCTTCCAACACAGGAGCTGGAGATCGTTTCTCCACTGATGTTCTCCCAACACTTCTTGTATACAGAGCTGGGGAGCTCGTAAGCAATTTCATTAGTGTAACTGAGCAGTTTAATGAAGAGTTTTTTGCTGTAGATGTAGAAACGTTTCTGAATGAGTATGGGCTACTGCCTGAGAAGGAGATCCCAGCACTTGGGAATGGTAACACAGGAGAACAAGAAGTTGAATAGATGACAAGGTATCAGGTCCTTGCTCAGTACCTATTGCAATTGGATTGCACCTGGACCCATTTACAGTAGTTAAATCTGCAAGTACTTATGCTATGTATGTAAACAGAGGTGTAGTGGCTGCTGGAGGGAGTGAGATTTCCCCTGTATGCAAGCAGTATACACAATTAATTTAATTGAAAAAATGAATGACAATGCATTCTTTCAGGGGTCCAGATGTAAGTCTGATAGAGATAAATAGGATTTCCCTCCAGGCAAATGTCAATAAGATTGCATCCATAACGAGCAGCTTCTAAATATACCTGTTCATATCACACCAAAGGTAATAGGAATGTACAAATACTGTGACTATAAAATTAGTGAAGGATGTTCTGACCACATTGATGTACATTGTCAAATGTGCAGATCCACAAATCATGGTCTGGTACACCAAATTTATCTTTTTGACTTCGCATTTATTTTAATTTCTAGAAAATGCTTTAAAAAGAAAAGAAGGAGAGTAAAGGCTCCATAGGTAGTGGGCTCAAAATAAAAAAAAACATAGAATTAAATTGTAAGGGGGCATGGTAGGATACTTCAGAGTGCCACATACATTTAGCTGGTCCTTATGTAGTTGTCTTCAGGAGGCACAATAAGAAGCTGGCCAAATCCATTGGGGGTAGAAACTGGAGTGTATCTAGCCCTACAGAGGCACCTAGGGAATCATTGCAGACCCTCTGTAATGACCAGAAAAATTGGTGATAGTAATCAAAAAGACTTAGAAAAGAACCGAGGAACCTGTGGTTTTCCAGATGGAAGATTATTCTTTATTGTCCATGCTTCACAAAGCTGATTGGAACTGGAGGCCAGGAATGCCTACAAGTTCAAAGGTTCTCCAACTCTAACTTCAAAGACGCAATTAAATGAAGATTTGTACACCTGGGGATAAAGGGACCTTCAAGGTAATTGGCTGGAATTAAGGACAAAAAGGAGGTTGCCTCATGAGAACTACATATTGAGGAGAGCTCTATAGCCAAGTAGACACTCAGGGTTCAAGGACAATTATTATATAGATGAGACTGTTCTGTACTACATGAAACAAGTAGATGATGGTAAAAATCAGGATTAAAGAGGAGTCCGGTTGAGTAATCTTCAATCCAGTTGAGAATTCAACTGGCCTGAAGAGTTTAAAAGAACTGAAAAGCTACATATGAACTGAGTTATGGGTTTTCTGGAAACGAGTAGACATTTTGGCCTCATTTTGTCTATAAAGTTCTCAAAACAACATACCATTGGAGCACTATAACATTGGTTTTTAAAAATTATCAAATAGGATATGTTGAATAGGAAATAATTGCTTGGTGGAACACTTGTTTGGATATATTACATTACTGAAATCTAATTGGGTAACAGATATTTGAAAAGCCATATAAAAAGTGTAGGACAGGTTTTAAAGCTCACGTCCAACATTTAATAATTGTGAATATAGAGAAAACAGATTATTCTTGTAAGAGATATAAAGAATGTACAGATACAGTTAAGAATCATTTCTGTATTTGATATTATTATATAGTGTTGCATGTTACATTAATACTGGTATTTGCTAAAAATACATTAAGAAATGTTTAAAATCTGTGCTGATATCATTAATAAAGAACACCAAAAAAAAGCATATTTTAAAGGGTTCTGAACTCTTAGCATTTTATCCTGGAGAGCAAAGAATTTTTAGAAAGTCAAGGGTTTGGGATCAAAATGATATTTTAAGATTCTTCCAGAAATTAAGCTCAATCATTTATTTGTTGTGGCCCTTCTTCAACCAATGTGGAAGTTGAAGAGTATTTGAAATGTTAAAAGAACATTATCTGAGGACTTTCACTCTGCTCTTCATCCAAAAAAAAAAAAGACTCCAGGGTGGGTTACAAGATGAATAAATAGGGAAGCTCCATTTAGTTTCAGTCTGAAAGGTATACTACAAAGGAGAAAGGAAAAACACAAACTCAGATACTGATTCTCAATTTCAAAGTTTTTATGAAAACATTCGGAATGGAGAGAAAAAAAATCAAGAAGTGTGTCCAGAAGTGAGTTGGCCCCTATCCCTTCTTCTTCCTGTCTTAGGGTCATCGTTAATAGTCAACATGGATTTATCAAAAACAAGTCATGCCAGACTAATCTGATCTCTTTTTTCGATAGAGTTACAAGCTGGATAGATGCAGGGAATGCCGTGGATGTGGCATACCTGGATTTCAGTAAGGCCTTCGACAAGGTCCCCCATGACCTTCTGGCAAACAAACTAGTCCAATGTGGGCTAGGCAAAACTACGGTGAGGTGGATCTGTAATTGGTTAAATGGACGAACCCAGAGGGTGCTCACCAATGCTTTCTCTTCATCTTAGAAAGAAGTGACAAGTAGAGTGCCGCAAGGTTCTGTCCTGGGCCCGGTCCTGTTCAACATCTTTATTAATGACTTAGATGAAGGGTTAGAAGGCAGGATCATCAAGTTTACAGACGACACCAAATTGGGAGGGATAGCCAATACTCCAGAGGACAGGAGCAGGATTCAAAACGATCTTGACAGATTAGAGAGATGGGCCAAAACTAACAAAATGAAGTTCAACAGTGACAAATGCAAGATACTCCACTTTGGCAGGAAAAACGAAATGCAAAGATACAGAATGGGGGATGCCTGGCTTGAGAGCAGTAAGTGTGAAAAAGATCTTGGAGTCCTCGTGGACAACAAGTTAAACATGAGCCAACAATGTGATGTGGCGGCAAAAAAAAAGCCAATGGGATTTTGGCCTGCATCAATAGGAGCATAGTGTCTAGGATCTAGGGAAGTAATGCTACCCCTCTATTCTGCTCTGGTTAGACCACACCTGGAATATTGTGTCCAATTCTGGGCACCACAATTCAAGAGAGATATTGACAAGCTGGAATGTGTCCAGAGGAGAGCAAGTAAAATGATCAAGGGTCTGGAGAACAAGCCCTATGAGGAGTGGCTTAAGGAGCTGGGCATGTTTAGCCTGAAGAAGAGAACGCTGAGAGGGGATATGATAGCCATGTATAAATACGTGAGAGGAAGCCACAGGGAGGAGGGAGCAAGCTTGTTTTCTGCTTCCCTGGAGACTAGGACACTGAACAATGGCTTCAAACTACAAGAGAGGAGATTCCATCTGAACATGAGGAAGAACTTCCTGACTGTGAGAGCCGTTGGAACTCTCTGCACCAAAAACTTAAGAATCGAAACTTACCCAATACTTTTCATTTGCATTTTCTAAATCTTGGAAGCCTCCCACAGTCAGTTTAATTTTCAGAGCAAGGAAGCAAAGCAAAGCCAAAGTCTGGCTTTTCTCTTTAAATTAATGGCCCCTCACCATTAGGAGAGGGAAACAGCTGGAAGTAAGCAGATTTAACTGAGAAATTGGGATGGGGAGTGTTATTTTCCCTCCATAGCAGCAGCCAGCCAGAGTTCCAATAAATTGTTGAATCTGCAAAGAGGAGGACTGACTGATATTTCTAGTAAGTAAATCTCTGTGCTGGGAAGAAATCACTAAATGGAAATTGTTTTGGTTAATGTGAGAGACATTTAATGAGATAGCTGTTGTAGCTTAAAAAAAATCATTTTTGTCAAAACTTTTTAAAAAAATCCCTAAAATCATTATAGAATTAAAAAAACTTTATTATGGCCACTGACCAGCACATCTAAAATCAGTAGATGTATCAATATTTCTGAAAGTTGGGGGGAATGACAATCTTGTGTCATTGTACAGAAAATTCAGGAAGATCACTCATGTAGTTTTTTTTAATATTGTTTATAAAAACTTTGAAAATTCTCCAAAAAACAATGGATAAGTGAAACATTCTGAAACTTCATGGGCCAAGAAGTTCTATAATTGTAACAAGTTTCACCACAACAACTGTAAAAATGAGGGAGAAAGGAGCCCCTGAAGTTTCCTCACTTGCACAATTACTATAATGAAAAAGTAACAAAATTTAGTTATAAATTTCCCATTATAGTAACGAAAGTTGTACTATATTTTAGAAACTCTTTAGAAACCAAATGCCAGCAACCCCTAATTTTGTAATGACTTTTGAAACATTTTTATCGATCACACATGCCTAGAAAACACTGGTGTAATTGACTTCACCTTCCTCCATTCATCTCCTATATTGTTTTTACTATTTGCCCATTTATGATATATCATAGATTATATTACCACCACCCATTTTAGTAATACTATGTACCATAGTTTAATGTTTACACCACCCCAAGCAAACTTTCAACTGCTTGACTGACCTTCTCTTGGACTTAATTCCTCATTTGTAAAATAAAAATAACAATGAAAAATTCACAAGGATGTTTTGAGGACTCATGATCACTGAAGACCATATATGCATATACCACAGAGATTGGAGGACAAATAGAAATAAGAAGAATAAAGAAAGAAAAATCCTGTGGACATCAAGGTTTGTGTTATTAACTGCAACTTTTACTTGTATACATTAAGTACTGAAACATAAAACATAAATTTCACTTAAGTACATCTTAGTTTTGCCTAGAACCCCTAGCATTGTTTCTTAGATTTAATTGTAAGTGCCTATAAAGAAATAGCTAGTGAAGCAGGTGTCCAAACTTGCAACAGCATGAGTTCTCTGGGAAATTCATGAACCTAAAATTGTTGGGAGATGGCAACCACATGGCGCCAGATATTACCACTCTCTATGTGTAACGATTCGTGAAGATGCCACCAATTTGTGACGAGGCCACTAATTTGTAAAGAGTTTGTAAATGATCCACCACTTTGTAAGGGATTATTAATTTGATAGCGTAGCTAATAGCCAATGATATTGACTTGGTCTTTCTTTAATGTGTGGCGTGACTTAGCTTGGAAAGGAATTGTAACAAGTTTATTGAAATGTAGAAGAAGCGTTGATGGTTTCAATGTAACTTAACTCTTAGAGGCACATATCTTCATAGGTTACATTTGTAACATTTCTTAAATAGCTCTGGAAAGGACTCTTCCTTCCCCTAAACAGGTTTCAAACTTATTTTTCTTCAAACTGTGTTTCTTTCCTTAATAGATTACTTCAGTTACAAGCTTATTCTTTCTTTGTGATGTTTCTGTTAATAGAGATTCTCACTGGGTTTATCTCACCCTTTCTCTCATACACTACTTATTAATATAAATAAGCCAACTCGACTTAACTAAACTACTCGCTAAAAGCCAAGACCTTCCTGATCCTCACTACTATATAATCAGCCTCTCCTTGTTGTTTTTAACCTACAGATTACCTTCCTGGTTCTCACTACTACAGAACCAGCCACTCCTACAGTTCATAGACTGTAGACTAACTTACTGGTTCTCAGCACACACTAGAACCAACCTCCCCTGTAGTTCGCTGACTACAGACTAACTTACAGGTTCTCACTATTAGAGATCCAGCCACTCCTGCAGCTCACAGACTGCAGACTAACTGTTTTTTTAAATGGTTGCCCTGCTAAGTGGCAGTTGGCTCCGCCTCTGTTTCCATGGTAACCCAGCCCAACATGAGCTGAGCCCTAGTTATAAAACTTTAAATACTTACCCTTTAAAACATCTATCTATAATTATACATAACTGCAAGTTAAAAATTTACACTTCACCACACCATGTGTTAAGAACCACTTTCTTAACCCATGGGCTGCGGCCCAGGGGTGGGCCACCGGAAGGAATATCTCGTTCGTGGATCTCCTTCCTCTTTATTTATTTATTTAGTCAGAGAGCTACTTTAGGTTTGCATCACATTGGCATTCATATTTCTTATGATGCGAGGTATGAAGGTGAATTAATGCACAGCAATCTGAAGTGCAAAAAAACAAATGCTACAATAACAAAAAAAAGTGATAATCTTGTGATAATGGCCTAAATCTTGAAATTGTGCAGTTCTTCCAGTCAAAAGAAATTTTGACCAGCTAGGAAGGGCAAACAAGGCATGTAGCCAAGGGGTAGGGAGTGGGGGGTTAGGGGTTCAACCCCCCCCCCCAAATTTTTCAGGTTATAAAAAGCCTGTACTCATAAATTTCAACTGGTTAACCAAATCCCTATGCTAAATCTATTTATTTGTCGTGTCAGAACAACCAGTCAAATTATATTACATTTCTAACAGAAACAAAGCAAACAAGCAGATTACAGAATTTGTGAGTATGAGAGTTGATTAAATGTCCTTTGACCAGTATCTGGCCACTTGGAGTGCCTCTGGTGTTGCTGCAAGAAGGTCCTCCCTTGTGCATGTGGCAGGGCTCAGGGTGCATTGCAGCAGGTGGTCAGTGGTGTGCTCCTCTCCACACTCATGTCGAGGATTCCACTTTGTAGCCCCATTTCTGAAGGTTGGCTCTGCATTTCGTGGTGCCAGAGCGCAGTCTGTTCAGCGCTTTCCAAGTCGCCCAGTCCTCTGTGTGCCCAGGGGGGAGTCTCTCATCTGGGTTCAGCCATTGGTTGAGGTTCTGGGTTTGAGCCTGCCACTTTTGGACTCTCGCTTGCTGAGGTGTTCCAGTGAGTGTCTCTGTAGATCTTAGAAAACTATTTCTAGATTTAAGTCGTTGACGTGCTGGCTGATACCCAAACAGGGGATGGGCTGGAGATGTCTCTGCCTTGGTCCTTTCACTATTGGCTGCTAC